ATATGATTGAAAAGCTTGAGAAAACTCTGAGTTCTATGAGAAAAGAGTTGACGAATTGAAAACTTAGAGTAAATCAAATAAAGATCTGTTTAATAAACTTCAAGAGGTTAAAAGTGCACTACGGACTGAGAGAAACTCTCCAAGGAATAATATTGAGACTGAGGATTTCACTGATAAACTTCATAAGTCTGAGAGTGATCTGAGTGAGTTAAGGAAATTACTGGACTTAGAGAAAGGAAAAGTATTGGAAACTAAAAAGAGTTTCAATTTTGAAAAAACAGAATTTGAGAAAGAGAAGAAGAGATTTATTGAAGTAGAGAAAAGGTTTGGTACTGAACGTGCATCTTATGAAAATAAGATCAACTCTCTAGAGTTGAACGCGAAAATGCTATTAAATCAGATCTCTGATTTTGAGCAACTGATTATCTTGGAAAGAGCCAAGATAGATAAAGAGAAGAATGTCTGAGCCAGAATCAGAAACTGTTTGACAGCATTGCTCAAAAGCAGAAGGCTTTAGACGAAGAGAAGAAGCTATTTGCGCTTGAAAAGAGAAATACTTCAAAGAAATATGCAGCTATAGCTAAAGAGCTTGCTGAAAAGAAAAAATGCTCGACATTGCTTCTGAGAATGAAAAAACCAAATCAGATGAAGAGAGAAGAGAGTTTGATAATCAGAAGAAGAAATTTGAGAAGCTGAATAAGGAGTTAGAAGGTAAACTTCTGGATACTTCAAAGAAATTGTCTGATCTGAAGACATAACTTGAAACTGAACTGAAAATGAAAACTGAACTCAAAGAGAAGTATGATTTAGTTGATGATGAACGAGACCATATTTTAAAGAAAGTTAAAGACTTTTCTTGTGCTCAAAGCTCAACTGGTTCTCCTTCACAGTGTAAAACCAGCTTATATGATTGTTCTAAGTCTAACAGTTATTCTAGCAGCCCTAAATCTACTGTTTCTAAGAACTATTCTTGTTCTTCAAGTCAGTACTATCAAGGGTACGTCATTGGATCACCCAATTATCATTCTTCAAAAGTTAAAAGCATTTGGGTTAATAAATCTGAATCTGTTGTTACTAACAATAATCTTCCTTGTTTTGTGAGATCTACTACTGACTTGATTAATCTTAGCAAGAGAAGAATCATGTGCTCCACATGCAAGACAACCAATTTTGTCAACATGAAAAGTTACAACAGCTGGACTGGAGACAACAGATTTCAGAAGAGGTGGAAAAGTAATAACAGGTATGATAATCATAACTAGTATGGATCTTATTACGTACATAATTATCCTGTTAAAACTGCAAAAAAGAAAACATCGAATAAGAATAGATGGTTTGGAAGTTACAACATCCCACAACCTGATACTAACAAAGAAGGACCTAAGTTCGTTTGGGTACTAAAATCTGTTTGATCTTATTTTGCAGGTGTGTCATTACTGCGCTGATCGGAGATTCATATATATGATGCACAAATTCAGGGGGAGGTTGTAATTTGTCTAAACTGAGGCTTCTGAATAAATCAGTTCAGAACCCGTACTTAAATGAATTTTGGCTTCTGAACACAACAGTTCAAGACACGTGCTAAAAATGTTTCCATTTTTTTTTAATTTTTGAGTTGAACTGAAACATTACTTAAATCTACTTTCTAGGGGGAGTCTCTAGAAGTTTTTGAATAAATATTTTCAGAAAATAAATATTCTTTTAAGGAAACGAGTACATTTTCGAAGCAGGTATTTCCTGGGATTTTACATGTGTAATTTCTTATCGAACATAAGTCCAATACCTGTTTCAGCTATTCTTCAAATTGTTATTATCACGTCTCTTAAAACGAAAATCATTTTCGGTGATAATACGTTCGTTTGTAATCAAAGATTATTTTTTCTGATTTTTTTTACCTTGATTGATACACATTTGTTAATTCTTTGAATATCAGAATCTGTAAACTTGTTCTTAAAGATCTTCATTTGTTTCTCTCACATTCTGAATAATCTGATTTCATATATCACTCCTTGTTTAATTATGCTTCAAAGTTACATCTTGATCAAATTTTATATGATCATTGTGCTTTATTTGCAACAATATTTTTGATCAACTGTTGTGATCAACTGATCATACTGCTAAATTTAGGAGGGACTGAGTGCTTTAAAGAAATACCTCCATGGAATATCAGAACCGACAAACCTACCTAAGAGGACAACCATATCTGAGTGAGCTTAAACTCAATTAGGGTTTGTATGCAAAGCTTAAAATGAAAAGGAGAGGGGTAGTTGTTGTGAGACGATGATAGTTGTGTCAGGATTAAAAGATTACAAGAATCCTGTTCCAAACTTCTAAATTCCGGGCATACCACATAATCTATTAGTTCTCAATTCTTTCGAGACTAATATTGAAAAAGGCAAAGCCTAGGCCAATTCTTGTCACAACCCCACCAGCTACTCATTTATCTCTTAACAGATAAGTATTTCAATAACACTTGGGGCACACAGCTTACCATCTATCAGTTTCTCATTTGGAGAAATTTGATATTGAAACAGAAGGATATATGTCCCCCCTTCATGTCTTTTTGATCACGAATTGAGTCTGATAAATTTGTAAATTTGATATTGAAACAGAAGGATATATGTCCCCCCTTCATGTCTTTTTGATCACGAATTGAGTCTGATAAATTTGTNGAGTCTGATAAATTTGTAAATTTGATATTGAAACAGAAGGATATATGTCCCCCCTTCATGTCTTTTTGATCACGAATTGAGTCTGATAAATTTGTGTAGTCCACACGGTTTATCATTTTGAGCCTAAACAGAAGCATATGTTGCTTTATCTTTCTACACTACACAGATTTTGCAAATTTTTATGTTATTCTGCCGAAACATTCATAGATATACTTTTATAAGATATCGATGATTGAATAGAAGACCTGGTGAGATGAACCTCATAAAGTATCATATATATATACAGTACATTCGTTGTACTGAGTATATTTGTTATGCTCACAGGCCAATCTTTTTATAAGATTGATAACAATTTCTTAAGTTGAAATTGTTTGTTACCTTCTCATTCCCTTAATCTGAAAAGATTATACAAGTGGATTTGAAAAAATCTACTTACAATTTTATGATTTGACGGCTTTCGCTGAAGATTTCATTCATTCTAGTGTGTGATGCTAATGATTCTCATTTCATCATAAGGAGGAGTATGAAATAATGAATGAAATGTTCAATTCCGAACGATATAAGGGGAGTATGTTATAAAGATCAAGGGGGGGGGGGGGGCGTAACACCAAAGGTCGGCAAAAGACTCAAATGAGTGTGACTAGAGATTATTACTAAAGACTATTCTTGTGCTACATTGTCTGAGAGTTTTTGAATGTGAAGTTCATCCTTACAAAAGTTTACTGATAAGAGATTTCTCATCAAAGAGAAAGTTTGTGAATTTTTGTCTGAAGAAATTCATTTTTGGGGAGAATGTCTATAATTCGTTATCTGAAAAAATTCTTTGAAGATCACATCTTGTAGATCGTTTATGAAAATCTTTGTTGATACTGTTCTACATTGTCAAATGAGAAGATCGTTCTTGTTCTACATTCGAGGGGGAGAATGTTAGAAGATTTTCTCAACAAAAGATTATCTGAAGATTTCAAAGTAAAGATTGTTTTTTAAAGAAGTCATAAGGAGCTTAAAGTGACAAAGTTCAAACGAGATTCAAAGTGCACAAATTCTTTCAAGCCTGAATAAAAAGGGGAAGAGTTAGGACTAAATTTCAGTGTAAATTGTATTCGTCTTGTAAGTTACTATTGACTATAATTAAATAGACATCGTGTTTGACTTATGGTAGTTTGACTTTGACTAGAGGGTTATTGTTTGACCCTATATAAAGGTTTTGTCTTTAGTGAATTAGGTAGGAGATTCATTGTAAACATTACGTAAAGTTTGAGAGTAATATAGTGCATTGACTGAATTGACTTTTTCTCTCAACTCTCCTTCTATATGTTCTTGAATGATTTATGAAGATTGTCATTGATGTTTGAAGATTTATAAAGATTGATCATATTTAGGGACTTTCAACAGCCTTCAGCTAATCTGACAGGTTATTGCTGACACCCTTTAGCTTATGTTTTCAGCTTATCGTGACAGTTTTCAGCTATCACTGAAGAGGCAGCTTTCAGCTTATCGCTGACAGCTTATCATGACAGCTTTCAGCTATCACTTGCTGATGTTGTCAAGGAGTTCTGAAAGACGAATTTTGTTGGTTAACATGTCGGCTATAAAAGGTTTTTTTTTAATCAAAAATATGTCTATATTTGTTTAAAATAACACATTCGTATTCAAACTGAAAGGAAAAGCGTTTTCCATTTGGCTTGGTCTTTCTATGACAATCATGTGTTTATTTGTGGTAATCGTCAATCGGTATTCTCGCTTACATTTATAAAAAAATTATACTCCGCCGCATTGTGCGGGTGCACAACTAGTATGTGCGTGCGTGCATATATATATATATATATATATATATATATATATATATATATAAGTTTAACCATTTGACGGTTTTAACCCTTTAAGTTAGATTTTCAACTTTATGTCGATATAGGTATAAACTCAACTTTTGATACAAACTAGTCCAAGATACAAGTTGGTTAAACATAAGATACAAATATATTATGCATAACCACAAGGGTGATGCTTGATTGGTTTGAGTTGGCTCCAAATGTCAAAAGTAGTAGGAAGTCATTATCTAATAAAATAAAGTAAAAACACATAAATCTCAAACTTGAAAGACATTTGCTACTTTTAAGTTTTAACACCAAATATAATATAAATAAATAGTGTTATATCCAATTTGGTGTTTTTACTCTTCATTATACTATTTTAGTGTAACAAGAATAATGATGAGAAAACTAGATCCAAGTAAATTTGGTGTCTCATTGATGATGCTATACGAGAGTTAAATCGCTAACATTATTCCTCGGTAAATAAACCATATAAAACCAAGAAGCCTTTTTGTGCATTGGAATCACTCCTCTTTATAGGATATCAAGGTGGTTATATTAACATAAAGCTTAGGCTAAAATATAAGAAGGAATTAGCACATAAAACAAGCCAAACCAACACTGACATTAATCTTCAATTTTCATCAAAGCCTTTTATACTCTTTACTAACATGAACATGATCCCTTCTGTTGTGATCTCTTTAATCTTCATCATCTGGATCTATCACCATTCTCAGCTTTCGCCTCGAACCACTTGCTTTTTGGGATGCATTGTTACCAAAATCCGCTACTTCATCAGCCAAGTCATCAGTAACTTGGTAATCCTGCATAGTATCAGGATTTTCAGACATCATGGCGTCTTCTTGTTCTCCGGTTCCAGCTTTATTAACTTTGGCTTCTACTTCACCATTGGGATTAAGCAAATCAGCTTGGCTTCCTGCAGTTCTTGTCTGTGACGATGTATTACTTCTGTTTATGGAAAGAAAAAAATGTTAGTATGAGCATAAAGTTATACCAACTTAGGAAAAAAAATCGACAGTGTAAAACTTTGTGGAAGGATTGATTGTTGAAGATAACCAAACAAAAGGCAAACAATAACACACACGGAACAAATATATTTGTGTCGTTTATGTTGTATACGGCCATATTCACGTGCAAGGGCAGACGATAATTCTTTACATAGAACAGAGTAAAGAAAAGAGGATATGCAAGAAAAACTTGTGTGTTCAACCCTGAGCCAGATGGAGTGTTTCTAAACTCCAATAAATATGTAACCCTACTATAAGCATCTAAACCGCAGTTATAGACAGAAAAGAATAATTTTGAAACCCTAGCTAACCTGAAAATCATAATAGACCTTATGACAGAAGCTTCACTCCCAAACTAATGGGAGAGGCTTTGATGGAAGACTCTAAAGCAAGAAAATCAAATAAATTTTCAATATTTGAAAGCAGGGAAAAACACTCATGGCATGTAAAATGAAGTTGTGGAATCCAGTATCTGGTGCATTGCAAGTGTGTACTTATGTATCTAAGGGGACATTTACCAAATGCTTACTCGGGTAAACGCTTATCAAGTCATATTCCCTTATCGGATGGATATGACAAGGACCAAGAATCTTACCTGGTAAAAGCGAAGGCAAGGACCGAGTCTTACCCGATAACTGATGGCAACGACTCTTACCACGGTTAGCGCTTACCAGGTAAATTGTTACATATAATGTTGTTTTGGTAGACTAAAATCTTACCTGGTAAGTAAGCGATAGAGTTGAATTTAACCGTTAAGCGTTTAGCGGGTAAGTGTTTAGGTAAAGGGCCCCTAAGTATGTGTGTGTATGAGTGAGAGAGAGAGAGAGAGAGAGAGAGAGGAGAGACGGATGTTACCTAAACGCTGAGCTTAGTAAGATGTCATCAAAATCATCTAATAGTTTGTCATTATTCTGGTCTGGCGTTTCCTCAGTTGGGACCAAATTCTGCTTCTTTTTGCTCCTAACATCAAAAAAGCAAATTAGCTCCAAATATAGAAGTAAACGTTAGAATGCTATAATACATATGCATCTTCAAACTCAACTGATATCAGTTAACCAAATTGATCAAACGTGTAATGATCTTTACATAAGATTTAGAAAAACATTGATACAACCTCATCTATATTGGAAAATGAGACAAAAGCAAGAAACATATAAATATAATGCTGGGCATAAGGAGTGCCTTTCTTATCAAAGAAAGCACGTCATCAAATGTAGAATACAAGCATGAAGAGTGACTACAGTTATCAAGCAGTGCAATTAAATGATAAATATATGTGATTTTAGGAGTCCTGTAACAAGTCTAAGTAAATGGTTACTGGAGAGAGAAGTTCGACCACGTTTGATAGGAATCTCAACCCTTTACAAAACAAGGAAAATCATAATAATCCGAGCATTTTCCAAATATGGTACCTTTTCTTTAGTGATAATAGTGTTTCACCATCTGACTCCGCTGTATCTTCTGTAGGGAAATCATTACCATCTTCATCCTTCAAATACACATTATCACCTGACTTCGGTTTACGTAGACGCAAGCCAAGTTGCCTGAGCTTGCGAGAAATTTGTGCTGCTGTAAATGTGCCATGACCATCTAGTGCACTTGCAATCATGTGGCTGCACTTCTTGTGATCTTTAAACCTTGATAGAATAAAAGAATTTCAGAATGGAAATTTATAACCAACAAACTCAATCTCTTCCTTTTTCTAATTATCGACATGTTCTTAAATATACAAAAATTCAGGAACTCACTGCTCAAATAAAGTTTTAATCTTCATCTCTTTCTCTTCACTAAATGCACCTACTCTTTTTCTGATGAACCTGAGAGCGAAGACCCAGAGTTAGCATCAGTAACTGGAGTTGAAGTAGTAAAAAGACCAACATGTCACATCTATCTCAGCTCAAGCCGATCACAAATACAGCACGCTACAGCATAAGGTACTTACGGAGGTTGTTCCAGTGCTGCCTCCGTGTCTTTTACATGAATATTAGAGACATCCATACCAGCCATTCTCCTCTTTGATGGAAATTTAAATCCCATCTGTTTAAGCTTTTTGGAAATCTGAGCTGGTGAAACTTCCAAATTAAGTTCTGCTACTATACGATGACTGAGATCTGGACAATCTTTATATCTATAATGGCCATTTCATTTGGCAAGGTAACAATTCAGCAAGTGCACTTTATTAGAATTCATATATTTTTTTGGCAAGTCATAGAAAAAGTAAATGTTGCAGCACTTACTTTTCGTAAAGGTCCTTCAGCTTTTCTTCCATTGCATCATCAACAACAAGTGGCTTCAACCTTTTACGTACCCTTTCGTGCTTGTGCTGAATAGGATATTTACTGCAAGAACGAAGAAATAACAAAGAGTCGGGAAAGCAAGACCAATACGAGCATACTTAAACAGAAGGCCAAATGGTAGGGAAAGTAATACTTGTTGAATTCTTCCACTGTGTTGGTTCCTTCATTGATGCTTTCTATCTCTCCTTCAACATCTAAATTTCTTCTTTTCAATGTCTTCTGAATCCCGACATCATCAGGATTTTCCTCACTAAGCAATAGAACAAATGTACAATCTCAGGTAATAGGATGTTCATCAATATTGGTAAATATAAGAACAGAGAACATACTACTGCCTTTCATCTCAAACAACAATTATAAAACTGGAAATGAAGTCTTTCTGAAGAACCAAGTGTCCCCAGGAACTACCATGATAAGTGAAAGAATAACAATAAATTGGTCAAAGTACCAGGAATTATCCTTACCTCTGGTCATCATCTCTCCAATCTGGTACCACAACATCAGCTTCATCATCGCCAAGTGCATCACCGATGCTTTTTCGAACCCATCCATTTCTACCAAATGTACCAACTTCACCAAGATTTCCATGTTGGGCATCATCTCCCTGCTTTCTATGCTTGTCTCTCATTTTTCCAAGATCTTGTAGCATTGATTCACAATTAATATAATGACATTCTTTACGTGTCTTCCAGAAGAGAACTTCTACAAAAAGAAGGGGATAACTCTTTATTTTCCTCAGCATTCTCCTAACCAAACTCGTAAGAAATAAGACAATATTCTCGTATTCTTTGCATGGGGTTGACTTCTGCTCTTCCAGGATAGCATGAAATATGTTCAGAAGTGATAACTGCAAAAATCATCCACATGTGAAATTACATAACATAGATTATAATCCTCACTAGTTTTTAACACCAGTTCAAACTTGTACCTGGTATAGCATTGGAGAAAGCTCCATATCTTCACAAATTCTTCTTAGTGCGCATATAATGTAATGATTTGTTCTGATAGAATTGCTTTTGTAAAACTTCAGCAGCCAACACAAATTTTGGATTATGGTGTTGTTTGCAAGGGAAGAGACCAATGAAGATACCTTAAAGTCAACTTCATTTTTTGCATCTAGCTGTTCATCAGCAGAAGAAACATCCGAGGCATAATCATCATTACTGTTTCCACACTTGCTGTTTTCCATCTGTTGCACATTGCATTCGGGTTCGGTACCTTGAGTTTCCAGCTTAGTTACATCAGGCTGATCGGACTCTCCATGAACGATGTCTTCATCTCCATTCTCATCGACATTTGAACCTCGTGACATTTCCTTCACTAACATGCTCACACTTCCAGTTTGTTCACCCCCAGAAACGAAATGCCCCTGTGGAACAGTATCTTGGTCTGCATCATGAGCATCCTTATTTGCTGTTGAGGCTTTCTTCTTTCTTTTCTTCCTTGCCTTCTTGGCAACCTATAAAAAATGCAACAATTAGGATCTGATAAGTGCAACAGCAATGCGCATTTCAGCACCCATTTAGGATTTTATTTCTCTTATTTTTTTTCCCAAACTGAAGTGTGAGTCTTTTTATTCTTATTTTACTTTTTATCGACTCAAGAGCTAAGTTATATAATTCGGTCATATTTGTGTGGAAAAAGATAAAGAAAAGTAATCTTCTGACTTGCTGTAGCAAGCTGTCACAACATCTGGAACTAGCTCGGTTGATGATTTAGTTAAGTTACAAGTAGTTAGTTGAAGACTTCTTCAACTTTTTGAAACAAAGAATCACAAGCATGCAGAAGAGTTGGCTCGATATGCAAGAGGGGATGGTCTCATATTACTTTAGTTTATTTAAATGTAGTTGACTCTTTCTAGGTTAGACGTGATGGATGTTGTGTTTTTGTCATCGTGTTCTAGCTTTTGGGCAATCTCTCCTATTATATAAGAGATGTGCCATTTAGTTTCTAAGCAAAAAGCTCTTGGAACTTTGCTCCTTCAGTATTTGTATTATGTTTGAAGTAAATTATCAATTGAGAAGCTTTTAGTTAACTGTTGTGCTACAGCAAGTTCTTCAATTTTCATAGCAAGTTCATTTTCAGCAATTTTCAATTTTTATGTTATGAGGTAGCAAGGTTCTGTTGCACTTTTGTGCTGAAACTCCAACCTGATATGCACCCATGTGTTTTTTTACTTGTCATTACATTTTATTGGTTATTAACTTACTCAGAACCGATTTCATGGAATTTGCCATCTGAGATCTTACTTCATGTTTTACTTGCTAGAAATCCTCACTTTTCTGTCCTTGTAGATCAATATATGGTATTCTTAACATTATTACTTGTTTTAAGATGATATTGAGAGAACACGTATACATGCATGGATTCTCAATAGTTGTAGCCTTTTGAGGTTGCATAAATCTGACAAGTTTTTAGCGCCATTGCCGAGGACAGCCAAAACTAAGAATTTTTCAGTCATTTTAAAGAGTTGTCTAGAAACGCAAGTTGAAGAATTTTATCATTAGTCAGTAGGTGAGAAATATGCCTAGTGGAACCATTCTTAGTGACACTAGAACACTCGAAGAGAGTGAGAAAGAACATGTGATGGTAGTGATTGTAATAGATGAGGACCAGATAGAAAAACTCCCGTCGATGACCCTAAAATTTTTTTATGAAAAATAAACTGAAAAAAATGTTGTAGCAACATTTTCTGACGTTGTACCAACATTGCCAGATGTTGTTAGTATGCCAACCCAACCAAAAGAAAAGAGAGATAAAAAAAAGATCCGACTTTCCATTGTTATTCTCGATGAAGTAAAAAAGAAATCATTTGTGCAGAGTAATGCTACAACAGGTCTACCATACTTTGATACCATTGATGCGGCACCAACAGAAGCAAGTAAACCAAAACCACCACCACTCACTCATCCTCTAGTCAAAACCCTCAAATTATAGGTGTTAGTCCTATTTCAAATGTTAATCCTATGTACTCCACCTTCAAAGGCTAAAAAAATAAGAAAAAGATGAGTTACCATTCAAAGAGTTACTCGATGTGCATGACCAAGCAGTCACCTTCAATGGACTTCATGCAATGAGATACCTTAATGAGAGTGATAACTATTCCCCCATTTGTGCCTTTGAATCCAAGTGTCATTAAGAAGAAATGAAACAATATAGAGAGAAGCGTGGAATCATAAGTGGAAAAGAAACATCAAGTCAACCAATTAGCGTATTGCAGCAATCACTACTCATATCGAGTAGGGAAGGTCCATTTTTGTTAACTAAAGTTCCATCTTATTTTACTTTCTTTCTTTATTTTATCTTTCAACCAAGTCCGAGAATTTTTCATACTTTTTGTGTCTTGGTGATCACATGTCCTCACAAATCCTTGAAAAGGTGGTGTTCTCATTTGAAGCTCCACTTATATATGTATATATATATAGGCAAGTTCGGTTGAGAACCGCATTTCCATTGCTAATCAAGGAACCACCGAGAACACGCCACGTATCCGGGACATTCATCATGAATGTTGAAAAAAATTCACGTCCATTATTCATGACGAATATGGAGACCTGGCGCACTCTCGGTAGTTCTATGGTTTGTAATGGAAATGTGGTTCTCAATTGAACGTTCCTATATATATATATATATATATATTGTCTAGATAACAAAGAATTTTAGTAGGAAGCCATACCAGGTCATTATCAAGATGGGTCCCGACTCTTATTACCCTACCCAAAAAAGATCCACGTGAAATTCCAACCGATCCAAAAGGCTGTTGTATATAAAATTTCTCCCCAAAAATGCCATCATGAAAAGCAGTCTTGAAGTCCAACCACACTAGCAATAAAGCATGGTCTCATTGTGTCTCAACCTAGAAAAGACGTGTCCAACAAGTGTCAAATCTAAGCACTAATTAATCTAGATGTGCTCTGTTAGGCACATGCGGTCAATCGGTGGTGGCGCAAATCAAGTCTCATTATGTTTCATTAAGAACAAAAAATGTATTTGGGTAGGCACTAGACACGTCAAGATCCATTTGTTAGTTGCAACAAGACCACTCCCCTTCACACTTTGCGTCATTGTTCAAGATAATGAGCTAAAACAAATGGAGAGCTACAAAATTTATGGTAGAGACAATGCAAGGTAATAGATGTCGTCAATGCTTACAAAAGTCTAAAAAATTTACTCCAAATTGGCACAAGGTCCAAAGAAATAGATCAAAGAGAGTAAATAATGGGGTAAACCAAGTACTCCAAAAACAGAACTAGATAAACTAGCATTTTTTAAACTCATCAAATGATCCCAAATTTTTGGACTTGTGCAATAGGACCTTGACTTTGTGAAAAGGCGAAACTTTAAAACTTCAAACCAATCCCCAAATTAATCATTTAAATTAAGTGTTCCCAAGAACTTACAAAAGCATTCACTGAACTATTTGGAAAAGCAAATTCATCCTTGGATTAACCGGTTAAAATGTTCCTTAAATATGCATTCATCTTGACACAGCCTTTTGATGGTAATTATGTAAATGATATTTCTTAGGTTTGATTTGATTTGTTGTATATGGTAGGTTTCCTTGGTATGCTTTTGTATGCCATATATTTGTTGTGAATACAATGGAGATTGCCTCTTACATGGTATCAGAGCACCACACTCCTACCTTTGACAATCGTCATTTTTCTCCCTTGCGACCCCTATTACCCAACGAACTCCCCGCAGTGCCATTCTTCCCCATGCAACCCTTGCTCCCCGACTGAACCTCCCCTATCTACATTGCTCTTTCCTCATCGACCCTTTATTTTGTCCCCTGATTTACACGATTGCTTTAAGCGCATTATTGACCCTGGTACAATTGTTGTTATAACTTGTGCAATAGTTGTTGTACCTTGTGCAGTGGTTGTTAAACCTTGCTCTCTCCTATGCTCTTAAGCGTCATCAACAATGACTAACCAAGCACAAAAAGACAACATACCCCCACCATCCTCTTTTCTTCACCATGCCCAAACGGTCAACATTCAGAACTTGATTCCTCTCAGTCTTGATCCCAAGCAAGTTCAATACCATTCCTCAGTGGAACTCTTTCAGCTCTTCCAAGACCATCCCTCTCACTCATGCTCTTATCACCCTTAACCTCACAGTACAGCCATTTAGGAGCATTGGAAAACACAATGTTATAAGCAGAATGCAGTCCCTTAAGATGCTTTATGGACATTTACAAGACTTTCCCGAAACCCCAATTCTCACCCGTTCACAATCAAGCTGAGCATTCTGATGGATATTCTGTCGAGTTGACTGCATCCTTACGAGCACACCCTTCCTTTAACACCGAAGTAAATCATCATCATTCATCACCGATTTTGAAACATAATCACTTTATGCTTATCTTTGGCCTCTAGCATAGCCTTTCTCACATATGAGGAAGTAGATTGCCCAAACACCTTGCACAACACAAAGAGGAAGTTCCCAACAATATTGCACACAAACCAAAAGCTTCAAAGCATCTCCAACAACTATGCTAAAGTAGAGATTTTGGAGATCTAAGAGTTTTTTTGCACCAACAGCTATGCTAAAGTGTTCTCTATAATAGAAAAAAGAAGAGAACGTAGAGATCTCCAAATTTGGAGAAATTTCTAAAAGTTAATATTGAGAGAGATATATTATTTTTAATTGTTTCTACCAATGAGGTTGAATGTGTTATAATTTTTGTAAAGTTCTTTTAAAATGTAATGAGATGATATAGTATAGAATATTTAAATAATATAATTAACGTTGAATCTCTTAGGCGGTGTTTGCTTAGAGAATTAAACAGTAACCATCCAAAATGAAAATAAAAGAACTTGTTTGGTATTATATAATATAATGGGCTCATTCCCCAAGAAGCCCAAATTTTCATTCCAGATTAAACTTTGGGGAATGAAAATTCATTCCCATTTTCATTCCCTGGCATGAACTAAACAACCCCTAAATTAGAGTAACCGTATGAATTCGATGTAACTTTTTTAGAAAATTTGACTTTTGATACACTATTTTAAGATAAACTATAGAGTATCTGTTGGAGATGCTCTTAGCCATCCCCTCACCCTCTAGAACAAGAACATTTAGATTATGCTTAAGCTCCCCATTGGCTTGCACATCCGCCGGTACTTTCAGCAACCGATCGTTTCCCTCTCTATATCTTAACTGCCATCAACCTTCTCTCTCCACCCTTGGATACATATTAGGATGAGATGCACCGGGTCAATCCCCGTATCAAGCGCGATTCATGGGTGGGTTTGAGATTAAAGGTGATCAAGGGTCCAAATCTCTTCTTACGTTTCTCACCTTAACTCTCCTTCACCACGATCTTTCGCCTATATGTGTGTATATATATATATATATATTTTTTTTTTTTCTGGTTTTGGTGTATTTTGCTAACTCATACTAGTACATATATGGAAGTATGTTTGTTTGCTAGGTGTTATGCATCTATTGTTTGGTTTTTTGGGGCTTACGCTTCAACCGCTTCGAGGTTAACGCCTCATGTGCCTAATAAGAAAACGCTTTGAGGCTTGTTTCCATTCTTTAAAACCTTGATGGCTACTAACGGAACATTTGAGGAATTTTACCCACGGAACACAAGAACTAAAATCCTTCTTGACAGAACACGTATTTGGTTCCCAAACTTCAAAAAAGATGGGGATACCAAAGAAAAGACAAGGTCCTTTATGAAGGACTTCAGTCATACCTTTGCATGATGAGATCCAGAAAAAGTAGAATCCTAGATTGTTCGTCATAGAGCCAGCCAACGCATACCCCTTCTATGAACAGACAGCTTCCATTTTAAAGCCAAAAAGTGTAACCTATCCCCCCCCCCAAAAAAAAAATAAGCTGATAAAGTAGAAGAAACGTCTTTATTGGCTTGTTTAATCACACCTAGCTGGAATTGAGATATCCATCAATCCTAGGTGGTGGGCAAGCTTGCGTCATGAGCATCATTATTCTACACCACTTCAGCATATTGCCCGATTCTATGACACAATTACATTTGATTCAACACCATTTCACCATGCATCATCAAAATCATGCATGCACTATACGAAAAGAAAGCCAAGTCAACAGAAGCAACTCTTTTAAATAGTCTCCAAAAAACCCAACAAACGACAAAACCTTCAAACTCTGATTCTACGACCATTAGAAAACGCCCAATACGACAAAGAACTAAGAAGAAGCATCTTGAAGCAACTCTTCAATGAACCATATTCCTAATTATAACAATCCCGTAGGCCATAACCAATGTTCTTTCAAGAACTAAGTGACTTGTATGCAAGCATGATTTTGATTATGCAATCCATGAAAATAAATCATTTTTCATGTTGAAATGATGTTCTATCTTGTAATCAAATTAAGATACGTTTCATGAATAATGTAACATATACTCAAATGAAAGCATGATTCATAAATTTTCTAAAACTCGTCATGACCCTACCACTCTCAAAAAGATGTATCAAAAGATGATCATCATGATATCAAAAGATGCTAGATTCTTGACCATTTAATCCATGACAATCCTAAGTATGAGACATACTTTCATGTTTGTAAAGTAAATGCATTGCATGTATCACATTATAACAAAAACAAGTAATCACCTTGTAGTTATTGTGTAGAAAAAATTTTGTTTCTACAAAGTTCCCATTGCTCCTTTACTTCCTCTTGTTTTCTCCACTCTTCACGTGGTGTGTTTTCTTTCCTAAAAGCTTCTTGTTGGACTCTTTGAAAGAGCAAAAGAGAGAGAAATGAACTAAAGATTCTTATTTATATTAAGGTAAAGAGGTGGGCAATCAGTGCCCCGCTCTAGCGTGGATCTCCCCACAGTAACCCTTTCACTATCGTAAGACACCTAATCCCCACCATCAACTTAAGACATATAAATGTTATAACTATACAGGCATCTATTTGATCCATTACCAGACAAGTAACCATTTTGTTTTAAATTTATTATTTTCTAATACAAAATATCGGTTATATACAAACATACACGGCTGTATCATTTTTATCTATATTTTGACATACATATACTAAATAAATGTAGTTTTGGTTCCAGACCAACGTCATTTAGTTTTAGATAATTTCTAACTTTGTAAACATTCAAAGATTCTAAGCTCCATACTCCTTTTTTATTTGACTTCATATCCGCTATAACAATGGTCAAACTAAACAATTGATTAACCTTGGTTCACTTTCTTGTTATCAAGTTCTTTCAGATACACTCCACATGCAACTCCTATCTGTGAAATGATTATTCTCTTCATGGTTGGTAACGCTTGTATGTACTTGACAAAAATCTCATAGAACATGTAACTGATAATTGAATTTTAACACCTAAAATCCTATATGGGGAAGACATAACTTCATCTTTACTTTATAATAGTCAGAGTAGAATGTACAAGCATGTCATGGTGGACCCATGTCCACCTATGATTGTAAAAATAAAAGCCACCAGAACATAACTTACCCTCAGTGAACCACGTGCTTGAAGGTTTTCCATCAGCCGTATGACTATATGAATTGTCTCGACCAGATCAGCAAGATCACTGATAAAAGAACAAAAGATGAAACAAAAATATTGAAGTGAACAAAAAGCAGCAATATATTTCTAGAAAAATATGATACTGTTTTATTTGCAGAAGTTATCATTTTGAGTAACAAATGTTAAGCTTATCAAGACCCCCTCACTTAAGACACATGTATTCATTCTTCATCAATTATACATGCTTGATTATGTTTTCTGGAATTGACTTATGATAAAGAAACTGCAATATGAATACTATAGAAAAAGGTGAAAGAAGTACTTGATTGGGCCTTTACCATTGATTAACGTATTTTGACCACTGTAACAGCCAAAATTACTTATTTGGACATTGTACCTGCTGTTTCAACCCCTTGTACACCAATCTACTTTCCAACCAAAAAGCTGAATTGACCAGTTGCCCTTAAAAAGTTAACTATGTCAACTCGGTGAGCTTTATGGGAATAACATGCAAATTGAGTGACTACATTTTTAACAGATGGTAGCACCAATGAGCAAAAAGTTATTGCAACACGAGATAAAATAGTCAAACAAATAGCTTTAGTTGTAGAATGACCAAGAAATATTTTACTCAAACAATACAATGCAAGTCATTACAGAACTATAATTCTATCATGAAGAAAGAGATGAACCTTTTTGGTTGTCTGTGCGCATTAAATGACTTGATCAGATTGAACAGGAAATAGGTCATCCCTAGATCTGTCTGATCATAAAATAACTTGTAAAGAAGAACACGGGCAGTTTGAGGCTCCTTGGAATCTTCAGTTGACATTTTAAGAACCAAATCTAACATGTGTATCTGCAAAAACATAAATATCATACACTTAAAACTGAAACTGTTCAGCAACTTCAGTTAAAGTTTGAAAATTCAACAACAAACATAAAACATCTAATTGTATGATAAATATAAAAAGAAACCTTGGTCTATCCCAAGCAAATTACTTCTTTTCTATTTGAATATATGCTAAGAGCTGCGATGCCTGCCAGATGTATGCAGGAATCCAGCACAAGCCGGCTCCCGATAAAACAATCTTTAGGCTGTTTTAGTCTGCAAAATCTCATGATTGACACAAACAAATCCTGTAGGTATTGTATCTTCTCTTTTGCTTTCTATACCTAAGGGTGCATCTCATGTATATCATTTTGGCTACTCCTTCCATTAATATTCATCACATAATGACCCTAATTATGTATATGATATTAGAGCACTTTTAAGACGCAATAAGATAAGAAGAATAACATTCTAATGGCTACTAACCACATTTCTCTAGAATGCAATGCTTGTTTGAGTGACTGTCAAACAATTAAGCTTCCCAACAAGTAGAGTGCTTCTTTAAAAACACTTTCCATCTTTATTCAAAAGTTTCTATTTTCAATTACACACAAATCAACAAAATTCACTATAGTAATCCCTGCTTAGATCTGTAACCTGAAACCCTATCAAGAAAGCCATAGAGAAATGACTTCTGATACGAAGTATAGCAATATAGATCCAGAAGGCCATATTCACAAAAAATAAAAAGTCTATCCATTAACCATCCTATGGGTCTGGGAGCAGCTTTCAGCTACAAAGAGTCATCTTGATGAAGCTTCATTAAATGCATCCATTTGCAACCCATGGAGCACTTTCAAATAAGCAAGCTTACAAAAACCAGATTGTGCGCTCTTGAGGGGTAATCATTTCCTGCTGCATGGCTATATAACACAAATTCTTAAGAGTGAATACTTGTCAACAACATAAATAGATGCAACTCATGGGAGTGGCAAACATATGCCACAAAAAATTTGGACCCGTTGTCTAGTACAAATATGATTAACCTCGTATACATAGCTGTCAAAAAATCATACAACAAAATTCAGATTTTACGATGAAGCAACAAATTGTATCATGCGGTTCTACTATATTACACCTAGATTTCCTACCTTACTGATGTTTTTAGATTTGTGTGTTTTATTAATCCAAAACTTATTTTGAAGCCACATAAATGGAAATGTTTTTTGCTCGAGTCTCTTGAAGTCATAATCAACATTTAATGGTACAAGACCACATTCTCATGATCAATAACAGTTAATGCTCAAGAGAAGTAGGGTAAGGAAGTGGACAAGTTCTAAAGTATCCAAGGAAACCGATTATCTAAGAGAGAGAGAAGTCTACACCAAAGGGACTATCATGAGATGCAAGATTGATTCATTGGAATGATGATTCGAGAAAAATAGTTTCATGGGTAAAAGCAACTAGACAACTATGTTAGCTTGTATATGCAACATAAGTAATAGAAGACAGATATATTGGTGAAAGAAATACGTATCTAATTCTGATGAAGCTATGATAACCTATTAAAACACAAGAAAAAGTTGCATATGCTGTAAGTGCATTTAGCAGGTTAAATTTTTTATCCCTACACTTTCTAACAGATTTAGAGTTTTAAATTATTATCATGGACTGAAATTATATAAAATATATACACCTGGCTAAGCCTCATAATAAGGAAACTACCCTATGAAATCCCTGATTGTATGATCTTACGGGATTATATACAATTTCCTGATAAATTAGCTTCCTAATTAAATACAAAATCATTTACATTTTCCCATACTTTCTTTGTAGCTTTCAAACTTTACAGATGCTATTGGGAGAGGCATTCAAATAGATCATATATACTATGAAGTAGAAGACTTCTCACAAGACAGACCTGGCAGGATAAGAATTCAATTAGATGTTGACACAGTAGGGCACCCAATTGCCGAAAGGTCTACGATTAGTTATTGTGTTTCATGGAAGATTAAGAAACGGATAATCAAAGTCTGCTATATAAAACAGTAATTCGCTGCTTTCTGTTTCCTTTCACAGTGAGTCATCTTTGCCTAGTAGTATCAGGAATATAAAACATTACAAAAAGGGAATAAGTCTGAGATAGCCTAAGAAGAAAAAGCAAACCCTTAAAGACTATTTCCTAGAACGTGTGTAGTGACTACTGACCTGCATCCTCAAAAAAAATACAAGCATTATCATCCTGAAGACACTCTAGTATATAGCATCTCAACACCATGCAAGTGTCCAAACTTTGCAAATATAATTTTGGAAGTAAAACTAAAATACTACCTCCATCTCATGAAAAATTCAACAATATACGATACAAGGATCAATAAAGTAGTCGACTATTTATACATGTCCAATGCCTATCTATCTTGTATTCAAACAAAGAAAAATATAATAGATCAAAACGAATAACATTACAACAACTACTTTTATAATGAGTACATGCAGCTCTAGCTTCAACAAGTTTATTTCCCAAAAATCTGAACTATTTTACAACAATGTGAAATATTGAAACTCTAGAGGGGACATACCACGAAAAGATGATGACTTCTCGTGAGACAGAAAAATCAATATTTAACTATGGCCTTTTGTGGTGTACGTAGACCTATTATATGCTTGCAACAATAAAATGGGTTATGAGAGATACCGGAGAAGATGTTACTAATAGATTAAAAATAATCATGATGCACATATCAGATCTTTTACAATGGAACTGGGTCTTTCCCCTTCCAAACTAACCTACACCGAATGCAAAATAGATGGCATATGCTCACTGGCTTGCCTATAGTCTATTAATACTTTCCATATAGCATATACAAGATACATACAAAGGGTTGCAATTTTAGATCCCATGGCATAATTCACATGTTTAAGTATGTTTAGCATAAATACTAGTTTAGCATAGTGGGTGATAAAGTCAATGCTATTCAAATTTCCATGAATAAATGTGCAAAAAGTTTGGTATGGTATATGTACATGCATATAGCTCTATCTACAGATATGGCTTTTGATAAGTAGATGAGGTAGATGATCCCAATACCTTGTTGCATAACCATATCAGATGTAGCTGAGGATGAGACATTCTAGAAAACACATAATCACATATTTTTCAAAGCGCATGATTACATCGTTGAATGAGTGTCACATTTCATTAGTTTAACTTGATTTCGATGCTTTTATTTGGTGCCATGTAAAAGGATTAAAAAGGATCACACATCAGTGACTTCTTCAAGTGTTATCTCACCATTATTTTCATGAGGGATCCTGCTGCAGAAAGAAATTTGTAGTTGTTCGTTTCCTTCAAACCTTCAAATGCAGTACGCCACTTTGATATGACAAGTAGGAACATTGACTCGTTCATTGTTTCAGAAATTGACCCACATATGTTGCCTTTAAAAAAAGTACTATCAGCATCATGATCTCCAAAAGACTCAGATATACTGACCTCAGCATCAGGCTGTTGAAGCATCAAAAGCCTATTAGGGCAATACTTTATAGTGGCACAGGGAAAGCCATTTACAGATGCAACCATAAAGCAGAAACAGCAGAAACCATATTCCTTCAGGGTCACATCAATAAGAACTACAGAAACCAAATGTTTATGCACAATAAAACTTATTTCAGTCGTTTCAATTCACATTTCTTGCAAGTAAGAGACACAAACGTTACCTTTAGAATTCCAAGTTCCTTTCTTTCAAGATCGGGTTGGTGTTACGTTTACTACATAGAAAGAATATTGTTTGATGCTAGAAAAAGTGATTGAACAGGACGGCCACCTCAATCTACCAGCAACTGGAATTCACTTAGTTTACACATGCCTTATTAACAGTCTTTCAGTTCTTTTCAGACAGAAGATTTAGTTGTGGAAAGAAAAATGGACCAGAGTAGAAAAAACACAATAAAAAGAATCCTAAAGGCATAAAAGAGAAAACTTTGAAGTTGGAAGTAACATCCACCCTGCAAAATAGAGTTCTGAACCCCGTCTGGGTACATTAAGGTAATTGTTCCAAATGAATCTATCAGACTGCAATAATTCTCTACAGTTTCTACTTCCCTTGTAAAGCAGATATAAGAAACCAAGGACTCAAGTATCTCCTTACCATCAAGTCAATCTATAGTTGGGTCCCTTGAGATTTAGCATCATATAAGAAATAATTCAACATCAGAGATGCCAAACTCCATGCTAATACTAATCAGGTCTTTTACAAGATTGATTGCTTTTAGTCTCCCTATCGGTCGACGGTAGCCCCTCTTCGTCTAAAAGAGGGGTATTAAGATACCTGAATATCATGCATACCTAAATTCAATGAAACTCATTTCCTCCATTCACATATACTTGTTCTCAATAACAATAACCTTATTATTAATTTCAGGATTGTCATGACACTGGCATATCATCTTAGTAACATCCTAGATCAAAGTATGCTACAACAAATACCAAGTACATATATGGATTAACAAGTCAAAGTAATGACATAACCAAAACTATCAAAACAGCTTGGTCGTTATTAAACCATACTATTCAGTGTGCAAACAATCGACACATCACACTTGAAGTTCAACAATTCTCATATGAATTGACTCTATCATGAAGGAGGGCAACAATTCAAGCAAAACACTGTGACACCTATTAACATAGAAAGTAATGAATCCTGACTTGAAATCTGATAAACCTCCTATTCGTTTCACTTACAGAAGGAGGGGTTAGTTGTTAAAGGGTCTTAGCTGTTATTGTGAATAAATGAAGGGTATTTTTGGTACTCTTGGGTAGAATAAGGCGGCAAGTTTCCTTTAAGTGGAGCTGAGTTGTTAGTGGTTGAGATATTTTGTTTTTTGTATTTTTCAAAGTGAGTGTAAACTCTTTGGGAGAGAACCAGACCTCTCGAAAGTCTGAAATATTCCATTTTCTGTTTTGATTGCAATAAACAACCGACAATTGTTATCAGTTTACATGAAATTGGTATCAGAGCGGTAAGATCCAGCCATGGCAACAAGGAGTGCGGCAACAAGAATTGAAGATTTAGAAAGCAGCGTCGGTTCAATCGAGAAAAGTTTGGAACGAATTGTATAGCAGATTGAGAAATTAAGCAGCGATATGGCTAGTAAATTGAATTCAACAGGTTCGTCGGATGGAGAAGACGTGGATGATTCAGGAAGATCGAAGAGGAGGAACGATGAAAAACAGGAATCGAGTCGATTCCTAGCTGTGAAAGGCCGGAAGCTTGAAATTCCAGCGTTTGACGAAAGCGATCCAGATGGTTGGGTTCTTAGAGCAGAACGGTATTTTTCTTTGAATCGATTATCACCATAAGAAAAAATTGATGTTTCTTTCATAGCATTTGAAGGATCAGCTTTGAAATGGTTTCAATGGGAGAATAGACGTCATCCAATTTTACGTTGGGAGGATCTGCGTAGATTGATTTTGCGTCAATTCCGATCAATGGCGGCAGGAACTTTATGCGAACAGTTTCTGGCCGTTAAACAAGAAGGTACGGTGGAGGAATTTAAGATGAAATTCGTGGAGTTGGCTGCACCAGTAGAAGGAATTCCAGAGGAAGTGTTTATGAGTCAAATCATAAACGGTTTGGAAAATTCAATTAAGCAGAGGTACGTCTTTTAAGTCCAGTAACGTTGGAGGAAGCGATGGAGTTAGCAATAAAAATTGAAGTGAAGAATGCTGTGATTGCAAAAGAAAGGTCGATGTCTGGATCGAAGAAATCGTTTGCTATGTTTGCTGGTAATAGGAGTATCCATGGTAGTACTAATTCAGGGAATAATTCTAATACGGTGGTTAAATCGACGAACAAAACGGGATCTAAATACAGAAGATTGTCCGATCAGGAGGTACAACAGATGCGAGCCTTGGGTCTCTGTTATCGTTGCGATGAGAAATATTCACCGGGCCATAAGTATAAGAAGAAAGAATTGAATGTTTTGCTGGTTCAGGAGGAAGATGTAATAGAGTCGGGTGACAATAGTAATGAAAGTACAGCTTTAAACGCAGCTGATGTGGTCGATGTGGGTCAAGACGTGGAGGTTCATCTTAACTCGGTGGTCGGATTAACGAATCCTAAAACCATGAAGATAGAAGGATTCATTGAAAACCAAAAGGATGTAATTCTCATCGATAGCGGTGCGACGCACAATTTCATTTCAAATGAGATTGTTAAAAAATTGAATCTCAAGGTCGATAAGACGAAGGAGTATACGATAACGATGGGGACGGGGAATAAGGTGAGGGGAGATGGAATTTGTAGACATGTTATTTTGACAGTGCAAAGTTTAGACGTTGTCGAGGATTTTTTGCCCATTCAATTGGGTAATAGCGATGTGATTTTGGGCATACAATGGTTGGAAACTCTGGGATCGACCTATAGCAACTGTAAGCAGCAGATTATGAAGTTCATGGTCGGAGGAAAGTCGGTGGCATTGAATGATGATCCAGCATTGGGTAGATCTTTAGTTTAGTTTCATTGAAGGCTATGGAAAAACTAATCCAACAGGAAGGTCAAGCTGTGTTAGTGGAGTTTGGGGCTTGTATGTTGACAAATGAAGTGACTCAAGAAGTTTTACCAACGGTACAAACTGTTTTGAAAGAATTTGATTATGTGTTTAATATGCCACCGGGGTTACCACCAATAAGAGGTAAGGAGCATGGGATTATTTTGAAAGAGGGTACAGATGCAGTTAATGTAAGGCCCTATCGTTATCCTCATTATCAGAAGGACGAGATCGAAAAATTGGTAAAGGAGATGTTAGAAGCAGAAATTATAAGACCGGGCAGCAGCCCGTTTTCATGTCCGGTATTGTTAGTAAAGAAAAAAGATGGCAGTTGGAGATTTTGCATCGATTATAGGGCTTTAAACAAGGCAACGGTTGTAGACAAATTTCCTATACCGGTCATAGACGAGTTGCATGGTGCTCAAGTGTTTTCTACGCTTGACCTAAAGTCAGGTTATCATCAGATACGTATGAAGGATGAAGACATTCAAAAAACGGCGTTTCGAACGCACCAAGGTTACTACGAGTTCAAGGTAATGCCTTTGGTTTAGTAAATGCACCATCTACATTTCAAGGGCTGATGAATGAAGTTTTCAAGGATTGTTTGCGGAAGTTTGTGTTAGTTTTTTTTTTATGACATATTGGTTTACAGCCGATCAATGGAGGAACATCTTGACCATTTGAGATAAGTGTTTGAATTGTTGTCTCATTATAAATTGTATGCCAACAAGAAAAAATGTGAATTCGGTCGGGAGCGTTTGGGGTATTTAGGCCACATCATTTCCAGTAAAGGAGTAGAGGTTGATGATTCTAAAATCAAAGGCAATACTAGATTGGAAAGTGCCCAGTACAGTGTCGGAATTAAGAGGTTTTCTGGGATTGTCGGGATATTACAGAAAGTTCGTTAGAGGATACAGAGTCATAGCTAGTCCTCTAACGGATTTGCTAAAAAAAATCAATTTGGTTGGAACGAGGAGGCACAAGTGGCTTTTGAAAAATTAAAGGAGAGTTTGTCCTCATCTCCGGTGCTTAAACTTCCTGATTTCTCGTCAGATTTTGTGGTAGAGACGGACGCTTCGGGATTTGGTTTAGGGGTTGTTTTGATGCAGAACGAACAAAAGGTGGCTTATTTTAGTCAGGTGTTGGGAACGAGAGCTCGGCTGAAATCAACGTATGAGAAGGAACTTATGGCCATTGTTCTAGCAGTTAAAAAATGGAGACCTTATTTGTTGGGACGACACTTTACAGTTCGCAACGTCCAACAGAGTCTGAAATACCTGTTGGAACAGCGTGTGGTGAAACAGGAATATCATAAATGGATGAGCAAGCTGATGGGATATAATCTCTCGATTGTGTATAAACAAGGGAGTGCAAATAAGGTTGCCGATGCACTCTCCCGTAAGGAAGAAAGCTTGGAATGTTCGAATTTAAGTGTACCCTCATGGAAACAGTGGAAAAATCTTAAAAAAGAGTTGGAGAAAGACGAGTTCTTGATGAAAATAAAAGAAGACTTATTGGAAGATGCAGGAGCATATAAAGGGTTTGAGTTGCAGCAAGATCTGTTATTTTTTTAAGGCAGATTGGTGATTTCGAGGAAATCAGAAATTATCTCCTTATTATTCGAAGAATTCCATGCGTCTCCCATTGGTGGTCATAATGGAGAAGAAAGAACATACCAAAGAATGGCGGCGGAATTATTCTGGGTAGGCATGAGAAAGGATGCGTCAAATATGGTGAAAGAATGTGAAACGTGCCAAAGAAACAAAGTGTTAAGTGGGTCTCCGTCGGGTCTGCTACAACCATTATCACTTCCAAGTATGGTATGGAACGATATATCCATGGATTTCATTGAGGGATTGCCTAATTCGGGAGGAATGAACTCTATTATGGTGGTGGTTGATAGGTTCAGCAAGTATGCACACTTTGTGGGACTGAAGCATCCATTTACAGCTCAATCTGTAGCAGAGGTTTTTGTCAAAGAAATTGTACGCTTGCATGGCATACCAAGTTCTATAATTTCTGATCGTGATAAAGTGTTTCAAAGTATATTTTGGAAAGAGTTATTCAAGCTGCAAGGAACAACTTTGAAGTTCAACACGGCCTACCACCTGTAGACGGATGGACAAACAGAAGTTGTCAACAGGGGGCTAGAACAATACTTAAGATGTTGGATTTCAGATCGACCACGTCAGTGGAGTAGATGGTTACCGTGGGCTGAATTGTCGTACAATACAGCTTTCCATACAGCCCTTAAAAATGTTCTCCTTTCAAGGTGTTATATGGCCGAGATCCACCCCCTTTGTTAAGATATAAGAATTCCTCTTCCATAGTCCAACCAGTCGATATCGAATTGATGAATCGGGATGAAATATGGGATGAAGTGAGAATGCATCTCTTGAAAGCCCAATGCAGAATGAAGCAACGTGCCGATTTAAAAAGAACAGAGCTGGATTTGGTTTTGGGTGAGTGGGTGTTCTTGAAATTGAGACCGTACCGACAGAAATCTTTAATTAAAGGGAACAGCCCAAAATTGTTAGCACGGTTCTATGGTCCTTATAAAGTGTTGAAGAAGATTGGTAAAGTCGCTTATCGTTTGGATTTACCAAAGGAGGCGAAGATGCATCCTGTTTTCCATGTATCTCAACTTCGAAAAGCTGTGGGAAATTGTGCATCTTCGAAAGACATTCCAGCTCAATTGACTGAAGAATTGGTATTACAAGTGGAACCTAAATCTTTGTTAGATACAAGAGCAATTGTGCAAGGTGATCCAAGAAGCTTAGAAGTTTTGGTTAAATGGAAAGGGTTGCCAGATTTTGAAGCTACATGGAAAAAATTTAGAAGCCTTGATTCAGCAGTATCCCAATAGTCACCTTGAGGACAAGGTGAAAGCTTTGGAGGGAGGTATTGATAAACCTCCTATTCGTTTCACTTACAGAAGGAGGGGTTAGTTGTTAAA